AAAGAAAGAAGAAATTAGGAGGAAAGAGGAGGAGGAGGAGGAGGAAAGAAGAAGAAGAGAGAAAAGAGAAGAGGAGAAAAGAAGAAAAGAGGGAAGGGAAGGGATGGAAAGGAGAAAGGTGAGGGAAGGGAAGGATTGGGAAGGGATAAAGAAGGGAAGGGAGGAGAGAATGAAGAAGGAAAGGGAAGGGAAGGGAAGGAAACGAAAGGAAAGGAAAAGAAAGGGGAAGGAAAGGAAGGGGAAGGAAAGGGAAGGGAAGGAAAGGAGAGAAAAGAGAAGGGAAGGAAAAGAAAGGAAAGGAAAGGAAAAGAAAAGAAAGGGAAGGAAAGGAAAGGGGAAGGATGAATTGGGGAAAGATGAAGCATCCAACAGACGTGGGCCATCTTTGGGAGAGCACCCAAACCGCACAGGGCGAGGGAGGGGTGGGCAGATGTGAGCCTTTGCAGGCCTCCCTCTCAACCTGGAGGGGAAGGGAGGGAGGCCAGGACCTTCAAAAGGCTTTACCTTCGGGGTCCGTGTGATCGGGAAGGCCGTTCCGCGTGGAATGGGACAACATGGGGAAAGCTACGGAGTCAGCGGAGCAGAGTGCCAGGCGCAGCTTCTTCTTCGCGTCCCTGCCAAGAACAAAAGATTGACGTGAATGGAGGGGAGGCTAACAATTTTTAACAATTAATCTGAATAGAACAATTAAGAATGACTTGTCTCCAGCAGTTGTGGGTGTTCCAACACTAGCGGTTTTTAAGAAGAAATTGGACAACTATTTGACCAAGATGGTATAGGATTTCCTTCCAACTCTGTTATTCTTGCTTCTTCCTTCCCCTCCACCCATTCCTTCCTTCCTTCCTTCCTTCCTTCCTTCCTTCCTTCCTTCCTTCCTTCCTTCCTTCCTTCCCCCATCGAAGCACCTGTAGGAGAAAGTGGAGTCTTGAGGCTGAGCTGCTTGGCTGGCCGAATCGGGGAGATCGTCAGCCGACATGTTTTGCAAGGCGTCGTGGATGCTCTCGCTGTCTCCGATGGCTTCTGAAAAAAAGGTATTTGACACGGCAGGCAACGGTGAGCGGCTGCCAGCCGTATATTTCCCCACCCGCCTGTTGAAGAAATGGCGAAGGGTGAGGAAACTCACCAGCGCTGTCGTAATTTACAACGGCCCCCTCGCTAGGGCTGGCGCGCTTGATGGCGTTCCGGTACTTGTCGAGAATATCTTCAGCCGCCTGGGCTTGGGTGCTCAGCCGAGGACCGGGGTCGTCTGAAACATCAAGCAAAACAACAAAGGTCAGACGTTTGGAATCCTGGATTGAATTTCTTTCCTGCTCTCTTTGGGTCTCAAATTAATAACCAGGTTAACCCAGCTTGGGGAAAGGAGGTGAGGGTTAAAGATCTAAACCTGACACTGAAATTATATTCCAAAAAAGATGGAAGATATCGGAGAAGGGGAGCCAGAGAGGGTGGAGTCAAGAGAGGACTCAGCCTAGAATCGTTACGTTCCCACAAACGATCTAAATCCTTAACCCCTCTTTGAATTCCGTTAACATTTATCTAGCCCCAATTTAATGCTGACCATTAGTTGACTAGATCTTTGCTATATAACCATGAGCAGTAAATCAGCTTAACTGGAACTGAACGGGACGGTCCTGATTCTTAATCTCGTCAACTCTCCGCACTAAACTGCAGTAGATAAAAGTTAACAGAATTCAAGACTTAGGCCATTGGTGGGAATTTAATGATTCCAGGCTGATTCCTCTCTTGACTCCACCCCCTCTCTTCCTGTCCTTCTCCTATAGAAGGTGACCTTTTTATAATGGATCTTGGTTCTGCTGATCCTGAGAATCAGTTAAGAGGATATGTAATACACAGGTGGGAGAAAGGAGTGCTTTAGGGTGGATTCAAGATATGTGTTTTTGCTGATCTCGGAAACGTCCTTATGCTGCAGAAATCAGGATAATACTACATGACCCACCCCTTTTACGACGATTCCAACTTACCACCACAATGGGTAGGCTCGTAATTCGAGGAGTAGGTGTAAACTGATAGTAGGTTAGCAAGAACGGGCTAAAAGAACAGAAACACCTACAAACCTTGAAGGGAAGAAAATCGATCCGGGATGAAGTCGTCCTTCTCTTTGTCTTGTTTTTCTTTTTTTCTAAACGGAATTGGAGCTGGGAAGTAAGCAAGGATAAAAGAAGTCACACTGAGCCATATTTTAATTCACTTTCTACACGACGAAAGGAAGAAGGAAAAACCGTCGTCCTAAAAACTCGATTTCATCTTTTATATTAAGCGTCTGATTCTTCTTCGGAAAAAACATTTGGGGAGAAGACTTCTAAGCTAAGAGGTCTGGGCACACCATCATTCTTCCTGCTTTACGGTATTGTTTTTTTTTGGAGGATTTTTCCCCACACCATCCAAAATGCTCCTATTTTACGTCCTCCAAAGTTTCAGTCAAGTGTCCTGTCCTGTGATGAATTCTCGCAGGTCTTCGAGATCCCTGGAAACTATTTTTAAATGGGAAGTTGGTTACTCCCCACAACCAGGAAGGCAATTTTGAATCTGCGTTATAATGAGGAACGAACGTCCCCATTTATGGAAAATAAAACTGTGACACGATGGTCTAATTTTCACTGCTTTTACCGCTGGATGAACTTGGCTTTTGTCACCGAAACTCTGGAGTCGCTTCTGTTTGCTAGTACAGCTCCAATTCTTAATCCAGCAAGTGGATGGTTCTCTTTTTTTTTTTTTTTTTTTAAAGGAAGGTAAAGGAACTATTACAAAAAAAAAGTAAATGCTTTACCTTTGGGCATGGCTGACACGAAACGTTTCCTCCACCAGGGTCTGTTTCGGTCGGACTTCTCATCATCGCTGTCTTTTCGGTCTTCAATCTATGGGAGAAATGAGGCTGAGTTGGATTCCGATATGTAGGAAAATCTACTTTTCTCTGACTGATCGTGCAAACAGAAGTAGGGGCTAAATAGCACAATGCCAAGAGATTCGGACATACTTGCATACTGTTTAGAAAGCTGGCAAGCAAGCAAGGAGAGAGGGAGAGAAAGAAGGAAGGAAGGAAGGAAGGAAGGAAGGAAAAGTGAAAGGAAGGAAAGAGAAAGCGGGAGGATGGAAGGAAGGAAGGAAGGAAGGAAGGAAGGAGGGAGGGAGGGAAGGAAGGAAGGAAGGAAGGAAGGAAGGAAGGAGGAACGGACAGATCCCTACCTCTCCCCTGCAGGAATCTTTGCTCGGAGATGAAGAGGAAGACTGCAGTCCGGGAACCATCGGCACCCCTCCGGCGTTGCTCCCGGGCCCCAAAAGATCCCGCTCCTCGGTCCCCGCTCGCCTGTTCCAGCCGGGATCGCTCATGGGCCTCCGGGCGGACGAGACGATGTCGGAACTCCGGCTCCGCACGAGCCTTTCGGGGTAGGAGTAGCGCTGCTTGAAGGCCTCCGAGTCGAAGAGCATGGCCGTGTGGGAGGCGAAGCTGGGCAGCCTGGCGTCGCTGCCGCCCAGGGTCCCTTCCAAGATCGGGGGATCCGGTGGCGGGTGAGACGGCCGGGCGTAGTGGACTTTGGGCCTGACCACTGCGGGGGAAAAGGCCGTGGGTGCAGGAAGGTGGCCAGGGGCCTTGGGGAAGAGGGAGGGGAGGCGAAGGAGCAGCGCACGAGGGCTTCCCGCGTGGGAGAGGTTACCTTCGTGAGAAACCAAGGGGTCAAACATGGCGAGAAGGGAATCCGCCTGGCAAGGAGGCGAGGTCAAGTGGCTGGCACCTGAAATGCGAAGAGCGGAACAAATTGGAAAACAACCAGCAAAATTCTTCCCGGGCTGAGCGCCGGCCAGTCTCCCAAGGCATGGGGCCCACTTTAACAGAACAACAGAGGGACCCTGGAGGTCTTCCAGTCCAACCCCATGCTCAGGCAGGAGACCCTATCTCACGGATGTCCAGTCTCTTCTTAAAAACACCTCCAATAATGGAGCACCCACAACTTCTGGAGGCAAGGAGTTCCACTGGTTTATTTGTTCTAACTGTCTGGAAATTTCTCCTTAGTTCTAGGTTGCTTCTCTCCTGGATTAGTTTCCATTTGTTTGAAATGGTGTAGGGTCTCCTGCCTGAGCAGGGGGTTGGACTAGAAGACCTCCAAGGTCCCTTCCAACTCTGGGGTTACTCTTCTTTTTTTTTCTTACCGTGCACCGTTTCGTCCATGTCCGGGCTGGTGACTGAATCTTTCCCACCAAAGTCGGAGCTGCATTCAGATCGCAGGTCCTCTATCTTGTTCGGGATGTCTTCGGACGTTGCGCTGATACCTTTAAACGGACGACACGGAGCTCTCGTGAGCTTGAAGCTCCCGAAGTGCAAAACTAAAGTGGCAGAATGGCAGCCCACCCCCATCGACAGATCTTCCGGAGGACGTGATGTAAACTCCCAGAATTCCCCTGGACCGGCCTGATCCTGGCTGAGAACTGTAAGAGTGGATGGACACCCTCTAGGCCTGCGGACTTCAATCCCCACAATTCCCAGGCACGTAGCCAAGGCATAAAATTCCAGCCTCTTAACGTATCCTGCTTAGAATTCTGGGAATTGAAGTCTCCCAGAGGGGGGGAGAAAAGGCTAGCCTACTCAGCCGAAGGTACCGGATCCGGTTCCAGATACACCCAGGTCATATTTCTGCTTTGCTGCTTCCTCTAAAAGAGTGAAGCATGCTGGGCTTCGTGAGTAATTGGATCCCCGCTAAGGGATCTTCCATTCTTCCGGGGAAGGGGGAGGGGGGGTTCTCACCTGAGACAACACTGAGGCCAGGTGTGCTGGGCCGGGAACTAACTTCTCTGACGTCGGTGTCATCGGAGGCGCTTCCCACACCGGAGCAGCTTTCCAATTCTTGCAGTCTCTCTTCCTGCTTCAGGTCTGGAGCTTCTAAAGAGGAGAGAAAGAATCAGATTCACGGATACATGCAGTCCTCAAGGT